GGCGGCGGCGAAGGAGGCGACGACGGAGGGAAGCTCCCAGGGGTCGGCGTGAAATGCTCCCCCCCCCACGAGCCCGACTGCGCCCAGCGCTCCTCCAGGCTGCTGGCGGCCGAGCGCGCCACGCGCTGGAGCTGGCGGACTGCCTTCGGCCACGCGGCGGCCAGCATGTCCCCAGCGTACGTCCCTGTCGGGTATAGCCAGGACCCCAGTTGAGGGGACCCGGTCAGCAGTAGGGCCCCGGAGCCCTTAAATGGGCCAGACTCACTAAACCAGGTCTGCCGTAGTTGGTGTTTTTTCCGGTGACGGCAGTTCCAGTTAGTGGAATGGGGCGCGGGTGGGGCGTCCCCCAGTACACATCACTAAACCAGGTCCCACTAAACCCAGTTCAGCCAACGCCCGAGAAGAAGAAACAAAACGGCATAAGCACTAAACCAGGTCCCACTAAACCCAGTTCAGCCAACGCCCGAGAAGAAGAAACAAAACGGCATAAGCATAAACTTTTGGCGCTCCGCGCGGATTTCTTGGATCTGCGTTGGAACGCTCTGGCGGCCCCAGCGCCGCCCATGGCGCGCTCCGCGCGCCAGGGAGTGGGGTCCAGCGCAGATCCAAGAACTCCGCGGGGAGTGCCACAAGTTTATGTTTATGCAGTTGTTGTTTATTTTTCTTCCTCTTATTATTCTTAGTTTTCTCTCTCTCTCATTATTTTTCTTCTTCTTCTTCTTCTACTGACGGCCAGGCTGAGGTCGAGCTTCGGCAACGTGGTCTGGACGGTCTCTAGGAGGGTGGCCGCGATCTCGCCCTTCAGCGGGCCGAAGTCGTAGCCAGCGAGGCTCCGGGCGGGGTTGGTCCAGCTCGGCGTGCAGGTCGCGTTCGCCGCGCGCCAGGCCATCGCCACGTGGCCCGTCTTCAGCCAGCGGACCCGAAGAGCCAAAGCCTCGAAATCGTTGTTCGGCTGGAAGCGTCAAGCCATGCACATCGGCCAGCGGCCGACCAGGGGCGACGCGGAACACCGTCTGGAGCAGTGCCTCCAGCTGCTCCGGGGGAAGGCGTGGCACCCGGCCGCCCGCCTCGCTCTTCGGCAGCACGGGGAGGTCGCCGTCGGCGCCCAGGAACAAGCGCCCCGAGCGGCTGACGATCGTCACGTTCAGTAGATCGTCGCCCCGCCACGCGGCCTCGCCAAGGCTCAGCGTGGCGTCCGTGATGGCCCCCACGACGCGAGCCGCCGAGGCGGTCACGTTCGCGCCCGAGGCGAGGACGCGGTTGGCGGCTCCGCCCACGCCCCTCGCGAGGTCCGTCGCGGCCCGCTCGGCGTGGCGCATATTTGTGCCACTCGCCAATTTTTGGGGGCCCGCCCGAGCTGGCGACACGTCGCCCTCGACGAAGCTCCGTGTGCACCTCGCTCGGAAATGGCGTTCCCGCGCGGGCCCGGCGCATGACCCGCCCGCCGAATCGCATGATAGCGACAGCGGCAACGTGGCAGCGCGAGAGCGGGCGAAATACCGACCTCCCCCGAGCGCCGCGCAGTGAGTGAAAGTGGCAGTGCTTTGTCGACGCGGCGCCTGCTTTGTCTTCGCCGCGCCCGTCGAGAGTTCGTCCGAGGAGGGGCCGCGCGCGAGCGCCTTCCGTTTGCTATGTGGGAGCGCGTTCCAGTCCGAGTAGAAAAGGTATGCTTCAATTCATATGATCATGTTGTGGGAGGGAGGCTGCGAATAGGCGGAGCCCTCTGACTCGCTCGACGTGGCGGACTTGACACTTAGCCATACTCGTCCTCCTCCTCCTCCTCCTCCTCATGCTGCCAGTGCCGCTCCTCCGTCTTCACTCCCTGAGATCTGGGCACTGCATCATTTCACTCCAGGCATTTTCGCCCCGTTTCGGGCTGGGGACCCTCACAGATCGGTCCTGCACGAATAGCGCCGCATACCGGCGGGGCCAGCCGGACGGGGCCAGGACGAGGGTAAGATCCGTTCCAGAGCGTTTCCGGAACGCTCTCAGAGCGTCGGGGAACGCTCGGAGAGGGCCGCGGGGCCCGATACGTCCTCCAGAGCCGCGGGCTCTCAGAGATCTGCGATGCTTCCCCAGCCACAGTTTTAACCATCCTCGTCCGGGCTTCGTCCCTCAGCCTAGGGCTCCCAGTCGTGACTCTGTTCCGCGGTGCTGCCGTGGCTCCGCCGTGCGTCGGACCGCAGAGCCGTCGCCGTGTTGCCGCGGCCGCTCCTCCTCCCCGCCCTCCCGCTCCGCTCCCGCTCCCTCGCCCCTCGGGCACCGGGAGCGCAGGGCCCGCCTCGACTCCTCCGGTTCGATTCGATTTCCATGGCTTCCGACTCCGACTCGATTCGACTTCGGATTCCGATCTGCACTCCGATCTCTCCTCGATTCGACCTCGGGTTCCGATCTGCACTCTCCGATCTCTCAATGGAGGCACACTGGCCCGCCGATGCCCGCAGATTCGACCTCTCCCCACTCGGCTGCCGATTTCCGCCGATCCGACCCGTTTCGATCGCCGATCCGATGCATCGATTCGTTCTGGGCTCACCTGGGAGCCCAGGGGCCCTCGGGTCCCTCTGCGCTGTTGCGGCGGCGACCCCAGCGCGGATTGCTCACGGGTGCAGCCCGCCAAGGGACAGAAACGGGCCGACATCGAGGAGTCCGCGAGATCGGAGAGGCGAGATCGTTCAGGGTGGAGCGATCCCGTCTGTGCCAGAAGCCAGCGCCAGAGTCGTCACGACACGAACCCGCGGTAGCCGATTTTCCTGCGCGGCAGGGCTCGAGCGAGACGGTGTTTTTGGCAATCGCGTGGACCGTTCTCGTTTTGAGTCCGTTTTGCAGAGAAAGGTGGAACGAAGACAGAACGAGGGATAACAAAGACAAGACGAACACGGAGAACACTGTCGAGCCCTTATGATGAATTCTCCATCCCCTTCTGATCGCCATGGCGGATCCTGAGGGAAACGGGTCCTGAGGTTTGTCGCAATTCGTTTGGCCCGGGGACCTCCACTGGCCCTGGGAGCGTCAGAAAACGATTTGGGACGAAGATGTGATCCTGGGGGGAAAGGCCCCGGGGTCCTGGACCCATTTCCCTCAGGACCCGTTCCCAGACATGCGAGGTCATGATCTGTTCGGTACGCGGTCTTTGGAAGCCCCGACCCTTTCCTTGGAACGGGTTTCTCATCCTGAGTTGTTTTCTGACGGTCCCGAGGCCCGGAGAGGGCCCCCAGAGGCCAAAAATGCATTCCCGTCGAGATATTTGTTGTTTAATCACGTTCTGTCTTGGCTTTCCTCATGCTGCTAACTCTTCCGACGATCCACACGGCGCGTGTCAGCCCAAGCGTGCGTCTACCCCGTTCGGCTGCGCCGACCTCGCGCAGCCTGTGTCGGCCCTCGCTGCGCCGCCTCTGCGTCGTCTTGGGGGCGCCGCGGTGGGCAGACACGTTTTCTGTTGTTGTTGCTGTTGTTGTTGTTGTTGTTGTTGTTGTTGCTGTTGTTGCTGTTGTTGCTGTTGAATATTATTACTTCTAAAGAATAATTATTGTTGGGCCCCCTGGTGCACGCCCCCCTCGCCGCGCCTAGGCCGCAGCCACATTTTCATCATTTTCGTGAGGAAGTCTCAGGCAAAACGGGGGAGTCCGGATCCGGTTGTTTTGTTGACGCCCGCTTTCCCTGTGCAAAAAATATATAAAATGACATTTCTTGTTCTAACATAACCAAACTTCAAGAATCCCCTGCAAAAATAATGTAAAGTGTACATTCGCGCGCGCCAAGACGAAATCCTTCCAAACCCTTAGTGTTTCGTAGCGATTTTACATCAAACAAAAAAAAAAAATGGTTTTTTTTTCAAAAAAAAAAGTGTCAAAATTTCATCCCGCGCGCTCTTGCGGATTTGTAGGAAACCCAACACTTTTTAAACATTTCTGTCAAACGGGCTTTTGCGAGCAACTTTTTCGAACTTCTGCAACAACGGTTGCGCACCTGCCAGGGCCATCATCCCTGTCAAATAATACCATGCGGGACACATTCGTTTTTTCTTCGCGCGCGCACGCCGTCGTCGTCGGCCGCGGGGCCCTGAATAGTAGCCACGGTCGTCCGCATGCCACGAAGTGAAGTGTCCGAACGTCATAGGGCGGGAAGCTGGGTGTGGGTGGTGGCGAAGAGTCGTTTGGAAATTTGGTAGAGCTTGAACCGGCCCCCCCACAAAGTGGGGGTATTGCCCGCCTCCTATGAAAACCCTGGCACTGGTGATAACGGTGTGTCCCCACGTGCTAGTAATTGTTGTTGTTGTTGTTGTAAAAGTCCGCGAGCACCAGCGGGCGCGAGCGGCTGGTGCGGGTGCCGGCCAAGTCAGCGGGCGGCGCATTTGGGGCCCGACGGGACGCGGGCGGACGGGGGGGCGGAGAAGAAAGAAGGCCGCTCAGCGGTGGACAAGCGCACGTTGGCGCCAACAGGCTCTCTGAGGAGCATCGGCCCTCCGATTCCTCGTCGTAGTTCCCCCTCCCCCTCCTAACGTTCGCCTTTGGAGGCCTTCGGGCCCCTCAGGAGAAATACAGAGCGCGCGAGAGGTGCAGGCAGATTTGGGATTTTGGGCTCCGTGCCTGTACCTAGAGTCGTTTCGATATTGAATGCAGAGCGCAGAGAACTCTCGAGGACCCGGGGAACACTCCACTTCGTGCCTGAAGGCATGGTGGCGGCTCGTTTCGGAAGTGCGCCTCTGATTGGGGTGCACATGCTACAGTCGAGTTTGATTGGTAGGCCGACCCTGCCAAATCAAGGGTACCCTTGTGTCCTGTGTTTCGCAACCCATGCCTTCTACATTCCTACGGCGATGTGGCCTTCGGAAGGGTCTTTATGTCCTCTCGCGTGTCGTCTCCAATTCATCCCGACTGTTCTGCGTCCCTCTGCGTCCCGAGGGAGGCTGGAAGGGGACGAGCACGAAGGGGGGGAGGTGGCAGCGACAGGCGGAGAGCGAGTAGAGGGGCTTGCCCGGGAGAGACGCGGCGCGCAGCCAGGTGCTGAAGAGCCAAGACATCCCGCCTTTCCGCGGGGCGACGCCGATCTTCAAGCCGCGGGGGGAGATTCAGGCAAAGAGTCCGATCTATGCCTGGCGCGCCTTGCCCTTGTTTATATGCTGCTGCCTCTCTGGGAAGCCGATGGGGCAGGCGATCGGCCGGTCGCTCGCTTTTGTCTGTCCACTCTCGGTGCCGCCCTTCTGCTTCCTGTAGGGGGCGGGATTTTCACTCTCAGCAGTTGGATGTCCACTTGCATGTCTTCTGCCGTCATGTTGTTCGGTAGCTAATCATGGGAGCCTGGTAATTGTACCCTTTCAATTCCGTCTGTAGCGTCGATTAGCGTCGATGAGCGTCTGGGAATCGATGAGGTAGCGCCGACTTAGCGTCGGTTAGCGTCGATTGAGGTCGATCGATTTCGCGTTGATTACCGTCGATTTAGCGTCGATGAGCATCGATTCGCAAGAGCCGACAAGCTGGCATGGGAGACTCCCATGAGTTGCCACCGAACTGTTGCAGATTTCCAGCCCGGGTCAAGCTGCAGAAGCATGGGGGTCCGTGACAGTGTGAATGGGAGGGTGGGCGCCGCCAGGTGCGAACGAAGAGCACGAGAGATCGGAGCTTGGCTGAAAGACAACCAGGTGCGGACACGGCGACTCGCACCACGGTGCAGTCACGATGCCGTTCGACGATTCGACCGATCCGACAGCATGCCGACGCGTATGATTACATTCTCGCGGTGAGTTCGACCAGGTCTGTTCGTCGCGATATGGGTGACTGGGTTCAGCCAATTATGTACTGTCGGTGGACGAATTGCTGCCGTGCCGACGGACGGAGCTGTACGACTGAGCTCGGTTGCGCGATTCACACAGCTTATGTCAGTGTCGTCTAACCCATCCCCATCCCCACTAGGCCATAGTATCGCGACCCCGCCATCACCCAAGTTGGGGACAGGCCCCTGGGCACCCGAAGGGACCGGCCTTGGTCCCCCTCTGGGGGTGGGCTACTTGGCCATCGGGACCCATCCCACGCCGCCGGGGATCGGGATCTGTCCAACGATGCTCAGTACGCGTCTGCGACTCCGATTCGCTCGCCCGCATCGCTTCGATTCGCTCGCCCGCATCGCTCGACTCGCGCTCGAGCCCCCTCTTCCGCGGACGATGTGTGCACACCGCACCTCGTCGGCCTCTCCCGGGGCGCAGTCGATCCTCGGCCCAGGAGCGGCACGGCGCACAGCCTCGTCGGCCCGCAGGGCCGAACGGTTGTTCACCATGCCGCGTGGGAGCGGGGCCCGAAGGGAGCTCCAACGCGGGACGCTGCACGGTGGTCGTTTTCTTGTTCATTGTTCTGCCGATCGGCGCGGGCCCTCGCACCCCCTTCACCCCCCCCTCCCATGGGAGTGGATCTTGGCTGTGTTTGGCGCCCGTTTCGAGCAGGTGGAGTCTCCCCCATGGGGCGCACTGCCGCAAACAGTCGTACTATGCGGAGGTCCGGAGCCAGAGCCCCCCCCCCCTTCCGGCCAATGTCGAATCGCCGAATAAGAGATCGTTCGCATAGGCGCCGTTCTCGTACGGTAGGCTCGTGTCTCGTGGACGCGGCGGCGACCCCAGCGCGGGCGTTCAAAGCTAAACGCCGCCAGCGGCCCAGGGTCGGCCAGTGTGGAACGATCTGGAGATCGGACAGCCGCCGATCAAGCAAGGTTGGACGATCCCAATGCGTTGATTTTGTCCCTGTCCGCGGACGCGTGTCATAGCGGACCTGGAACTCCCATCAGGATCCCACTATGTTGTGCGCAATCGGACAAAAGGAGTGGGGGGATGGGGGGAGGGAAAGGAATGACAAAGGAGCACAGGAGGGGCATGTTCGGTAGCAGCTCATGTGAGCATTGCATGTCCTCGGAATTCGGGCTCTAGAGTGCCTTGGCGTGCGCTAGCGTCTGGAAATTGATGAGAAAGCGCCGATGTTGCGTCGATGAGCGTCGATTCAGCGTCGATTCAGCGTGGCGTAGCGTCAGTTAGCGGCGACTCGAAAGAGCCAGCAAGATGCCATGGGAGGCTCCCGTGAGTTGTTGCAAAAGGGATGCGGGTATGGTGAGGAGGGGGGATGGGGAAGGGGACAGAAGGATGAGGAGACACATGAGGGTAATTATGGGCCAGAGCAGGAACAGGAGGAGGCTGAGATACAGGATCAGGAAGAGGAGGAGGAGGAAATGGAGGAGGACCAGGAGGAGGACCAGGAGGAGGACCAGGAGGAGGACCAGGAGGAGGAGCAGCAGGAGGAGCAGGAGGAGGAAGAGCAGCAGGAGGAGCAGCAGGAGGAGCAGGAGGAGCAGCAGGAGGAGCAGAAGGAGGAGCAGCAGGAGGAAGAGCAGCAGGAGGAGCAGCAGCAGCAGGAGCAGCAGGAGCAGCAGGAGCAGCAGGAGCAGCAGGAACAGCAGGAGCAGCAGGAGAAACAGGAGGTGCAGGAGGAGCAGGAGGAGCAGGAGGAGCATGAGAAGCAGGAGGAGCAGGAGGAGCAGCAGCAGGACGTGGAGGTGGAGGAGGGGGAAGGAGAGGGGGAGGGGGAGGGGGAGGGGGAGGGGGGATAAGAAAAAGAAAACTAATATAATCATATGGTTAATAAACACACTGCTAAGAAGAAGAAGACGAATCATACTACTGAGAATAATAATAATGATAGGAAAAAGAAGAAGCGGAGGAGGAGGAGGGGCATTTTTTTTATATTTTAAAACTTATTTTTCATACAACAAAAATACCAGCGCGCACCACTGATGCTGACAAGCGAAGAGCACTGGCTGCGTAAGCGCTACCTTCAGGAGGTCCGCGCGGCGCTCCTCCGAGCGTGCATGCTCGTGTAGTTGTTCGCTCCTCTAGGCAAGGCGCCCTCCCGTCCCAAGTCCCCATTTCCTCCTCCTCCTCCTCATCCTCGCCCTCCTCGCCCTCCTCCTCCTCCTCCTCGCCCTCATCCTCGCCCTCCTCCTCCTTCTCCTCCTCGCCCTCCCCCTCCCCCTCCCCCTCCGTCGAAAGCCCGTAACATAAGTCCTGTCTTGCCTCTACGGCGACCGCCCAGTGGAGTGGCGAGGGCTGTATCCTGCATGGTGGCAGTCTAATGCGTTGCGAACTGCGCACCAACAACCATACACACGTCTGTTCTTAAGCGTTTTCCATATGGCAGGACGCTCCAGGACACATGTACAGATATGCGTGCCGGTGCTGTTCATAGTTTCCTGTGCCCGAAAAGGCCCGGCAGGGTCCTAGGTAAGGTAATCACGAAACTCGCTCCTGACACTCACCTCTGGTATTCTTTACTTCGAGATCTCGTTCGCTTCTCTCGGCCTGCTCCCGAGCCGAGCTGCCACTGCCACTTTCAGCGGGAGTGTGGCTCTCGTGATTCGACGTCGCCGTGAACGTGTGCTCCGATCGAGCGTGTGTTGACCAAGCTATGAGAGTTGCTTCAAGGGCAGGCCGGCGAACGTGCTAGCGTCAACGTCTTCTTTAGCTTCACGGTCTCGCTCTGTTTTGTATGTATATTGACGGGTTTGCTGTTCGGGAAATGTTCGCGCAGGCAACATCCAGCTGTCATCGAACATTGGATAGCGGACGGCCTTCAGGGACCTCGAGCTCTATCGGGTCCAGTTACCCTGTCCACGCTGCCCCTGACTTTTGGTCCACAGCGAGCGCGCCCTTGACATGAAAGAAGAACATGTTGCTGGTACAACCGTGCCCTTCTTGTACGAACAGCAGGCGGCAGGTGGGTCGTTCTCACTCCTACTGGATATGTCAAGGTTTTTGATTATACCACGGTGCGCTTCGAGTCCCTGGCGCGACGACGCCCAGTGCCCGAGATGTGCCGCAATGCTTGTTCCTTGCTCGACCTGCTCCCCACGTGAGAAGTGGGTGGGGCGAGGGCATCGACGTCGACCCTGAGGGCGCGCAGGCCATCAGCGACACGAGCCACGCTCGGTTCGAAGAGTTGTTGGAGAAAGGGCTGCTGGAGGAAACAGGCCGCTCGACGTTGCGAAAACACAGTCGGGTGGCCCAGCTCGATGGGAGTGACAAGCCTTGCGGGGTGCACATCGATCGTGTGCAGTCAGTCGAGCGATCTGGAGAGCTGGAAGAAGCGGAAAAGCGGCGGCGACCTATGGCTATTCGACACCCTCCGCTCGACGGGAGGCCGCCGTTTCTTTCGTGCCAAGGACGCGGCCGAGATGCTGTTAGAGAGACTGGGTTCGATGATTTCCCATTTGAGAAGCCGCGTGTCGCAAAGGAGCGCGTCTCAGGTGTGAAAGACGCTACGCACGGCGCGTTCGACATCCGCCACCAGACTGGGTGCGTCGCTTGGCGCGTCCCCAGGCATCGGCATCGCCCATGACTGCAATCTTATGTCATAGCCTTCGGCCCATCCCGCCACCGTGCCTGGGCTGCGGGCATGAAGCCTGCTGGATTTGGGATCTCGCGGGGGTATCTCGGGGGCCTCTTGGACGCGGCTAGGGAACCTCTCTGGGGCTGTCTTGGGGCTCCTTTTTGTTTTTGTTCGTTCCCTCTTGGGGGCCTCTCGGGGCCGCCCGGGCGCCTCTCGCGGCGGCGTATTGAGGCCTTCTTGGGCCTTCTCGGGCGTCTCTTGGGCCGTCTTGGGGCGCTCTTAGTTTATTGGTGCCCTCTTGGGGGTCTTCTTGGCCGCTGCGGGGCGGTCTCGGGGGCCTCCCGGGTCGTTTCGGAGCGCCGGGGCGCTTGAGACATGAGAAGGCCAACGACCTCCAAAAAACTTACAGGATTTTTGCCTCTTGGGGCCTTCTTGGGGGGCCTCTGCGAGGCCTGTGCGAGGCCTCTTGGACCGTCTGGAGGCCAGCCTGGGCGTCTTTGGCCGATCTTCGGGCGATTGGGATCTTCCCCGGGCCCATCTCGGCCCGTCACGGGCCCCCCATGGGCCCGGAATGTCGCGCAAGAAACGCGGGGGGGCCCGGGGGGCGAGCCCGGACCTCCAGCCTCGGGTCCGGATTGTTTACAGACCCCTCAGGACTGAAGACCGAGGCCCCAAGGGGTCGCGCAAACGGACCTTGGGACACGCCCACTGCGTGCTCAAAGGCGCGGTGGCGGATCCTGGAATCGATCCGTCTCGGCGCGGTCCCCGACCAATTCAATCTCGCAGACTCGGCCGCGGGCGAGCAGCTGGCGCGGCCCCCCATCCAAGTTACGGCGGGCTGAGCTATAGGCGGGCGGGCGCGATGGAGGGCGGGGGCCGCGCGGCCGCGCCGAGACTCGCGAAGCTCACGGCCGAGAAGCTGCAGCATCTCGCCCGCGCGCTCAAGCGGGCCCGCTTGCTGCCGGCGGGGCGCCAGGCCGATGCCGACCGTCGCGTGTGACCGAGCGGCCCAAGCGGGGGGGTGCAAAGGGGCCGGCGGCGCTGCGGGCGCAGGAGCTGATCACCAGGGAGTTTGCAGTCTCGAACAGAGAGGCGCCCAGCCTTCTCGCCGCGTCGCCCTCCTCGACGTGCATGAGCCCCTGGCCAGTCGCTCCGAGCTCCGAGCTTTGCTCGCCGAGGCCCCGGTTATCTCGGCGAGCGGCGCCGCCGATGGCCTTCGCGGCCCCGGGTGCCGGAGGCTCGCGCGACGCGGGCAGGTTGGGCGCGAAGATTGTCTTGTCGTCGGGCCCGCCCGCTCCATCGCGCCGAGCCCGGGTGCCTTCTGATTTTTCCCCATATCCTACGGATTGGGGTTCTTGTTATTACTCTGGCGCCTCCCACTGCTCTTCCTTCCTCCTTCCCCCCGCTCGCGCCTCCCTCCTCCCAATGATAATCACCAGATAAGACAAGACAAGGAAAGATACTACAAGATAGTATAAGATAGCACAATATATGATAAGAAGAGATTTCAATATAAGATGAGATAAGTTAAGCTCACACTCACACTCTCTCATGATCACAAAACGCTGCCAGGGGCATCATTTGGGAGCCCCAAGGGGGAGCCACCCTGGCTGATCTCACGAGCCCGTTCGCGCCGATTTTGGTGGGACGTCTCAGCTAGAATTGCCGTTTGGCGCCCCCAACATGTATCTCTTGAGAGCCTCATGGTCGCAAAACGCTGCCAGGGGCATCATTTGGGAGCCCCAAGGGGGAGCCACCCTGGCTGATCTCACGAGCCCGTTCGCGCCGATTTTGGTGGGACGTCTCAGCTAAAATTGCCGTTTGGCCTCCCCAACATGTCTCTCTTGAGAGCCTCATGGTCGCAAAACGCTGCCAGGGGCATCATTTGGGAGCCCCAAGGGGGAGCCACCCTGGCTGATCTCACGAGCCCGTTCGCGCCGATTTTGGTGGGACGTCTCAGCTAAATTGCCGTTTGGCCTCCCCAACATGTCTCTCTTGAGAGCCTCATGGTCACAAAACGCTGCCAGGGACATCATTTGGGAGCCCCAAGGGGGAGCCACCCTGGCTGATCTCACGAGCCCGTTCGCGCCGATTTTGGTGGGACGTCTCAGCTAGAATTGCCGTTTGGCGCCCC